TAAGTGTATTTTTTACTGAAATTTTGCATTTCCTAGACATTTGTGATAATCGAGTGACATAAAAAATTGGAACTACCGCTATTTTATTCTCTAGGATTTCTGATTTCAGAAAATATATCATGTTTCGGAGTTTTGTGTAATCTGCAGACCTAAAATTATTTTTTTAAACTTGTGCAAAAAACACAAAAACATCTCTGGCAGCGAAAGGGATAAAGGATAAGCCTGACACTCCCCTTTCCTGACAAGCACCCAATCAGTGCTCATTACACTACAAGGTCTCTCTCCTCCCTGCTAGTCCCTGGGTGCGCTGCTGGAGATAGGGAGGTGAGGAGGAGATACACAGAGTAATGTTAAAAATATTAAACATTTAAGTCGCCTAAAAGCCCCAGACATTATGTAAAGCAAAATTAATTATCGTTTTGGTTAAAAAAAAAAAAAATTTCTATCAGGACAAGTAGATTGTCATGAGGGACAAGTAAATCAGGACACCAAGTTAGTCCCTGAACAAGTAGTTTTTTAAAAAAATTCCACACCCCTTGTATGGTTCTTGCTGCCTAGTAACATGGAAGGTAACCTTCCTCTCACTGTCTTTTTATAAACTTCTGCAGAGCATTATTTTTCCATTTTACAGGTAAAATACTTGAATTCCTATAGAGAACTATTGTTTTTTTTTTATTACCAGAATTCACAGATATACACTGCTCAAAAAAATTACAAGAACGCTTTTTTTTAATCAGAGTACAGCATCAAGTCAATTAAACTCCTGGGATATTGATGTGGTTATGTAAGTATCGGGGGGGTTGTTAATCAGTGACCTTACATCACATCCAGCTTGCCCGCATTTATAAATGACGCCATTTTAGAAAAAAAAAAAGCGTTTGATTACACTGGTCTTGGTGTGATTAAATGCTTTTAAGGGCAGAGGAGTGATCTGTGGTCTTAGTGACCCCAGATCTCTCCATAAAGAGTACCTGTCACATACATTTTGCTGTCACAAGGGGTGTTTACATTTCAAGTGACAGGAATAGAAGTGATCAGAAAATTAAATAAATAAAAGAAAATGTTAAAGTGCCTCCTGTTTTCCCCCCCCCCCCCCCAAAGGTGAATGTATGCGCTGGTTCCGCAAGCAGCAATTGTCCCACATGTGAGGTATCACTGTGATTGTCAGATCATGGGTAGTAATTCTAGTACCGGACCTCCTCTGTATATCTAAAGTGGTAACCTGTGAAGGCTTTTAAAATCTCGTCTATGGATAGTAAAATATTTATCTGTCGTGTTGCATGGATGTGTATAATTTTAAACCGCGATATGATTGGTATTTATTTACTCGGCGTAACATTTTGTATTTTACAAAAAAATTGAGTTTTATTCCCCTCAGTCAGTTTTGCTTCACTGCGTTTCCTGGGGTCAGAAGGCTGGTATCCTCTCACATCAAAAAAGGAATGGCAAAAGAGGGCCACATAGTGTAATTCCACTTTATTAAAAACTCTCTCAGGTTAGGTTCACACCTATGAAATTTGCGTTTGTCCTGTTTCTGCATTGTTGCGTTTTTGTGCCTGCGTTTTTGATGCTTTTTGCGGGTGTTTTTTTTTTTTTTTTAATTCTTATTGCTAGCAGATTTAAAACGCATAAAAAACGCTGCAAGAACGCACTACATGCTTTTCTGCAGCATTTCTACTAAAGTTTATAGAACCAAAAACTCAACTTTTCCCATTCAAAAAAGTCCCTGACCCTTTCCAAAACTTTTCCACTTGGTGAAACCGCGGAGATGAGAACGTGTCTCGTAGGAAATCATGTTAATCCAGAAAATGCTTAGGTGTGAACGTAGGGTTAAAATTAGTTGCACTTACATAGGTACAATACCAAAAGCATTCAAACCAGCCAGATCTGGAAATGACGTCACGTCTGCTCTCCATGTAACGCATTTTGCCCCTTCCACTGGGTGCCTTCGGGGGGGTGACACAAGTCCTTGAGACCCTTTTACAATTTATGTAAGAGTCCACAATTGTTAATACAATAATACAGGGCAGCTCTTTGAATTGTTTTGGATTTTTGCAATATTAGAGGGAGTTAACCTTATCTTAGAAGCAGCCCTACATATTTATAATTTGGGTAAATACTATTTGTGGAGATTTATGTTCTGTTTAGCACTTTTTTACATTTTTGTTTGGCAACATGCTTGTTGATTATACTCAATGTTGATTATGCTCAAAAAAATTAAAGGAACACTTTTTTTTTAATCGGAGTATAGCATCAAGTCAATGAAACTCCTGGGATATTGATCTGGTCATTTAAGTATCGGGGGTGGTTAATCATTTTCAGCTGCTTTTGGTGTTAATGAAATTAACAGGTGCACTAGATGGGCAACAATGAGACTACCCCCAAAACAGGAATGGTTTTACAGATGTCCACTGACATTTTTTTCCCCTACTTTTCTGACTGGTTTTCACGAGTTTTGCATTTGGCCAGGGTCAGTGTCACTACTGGTAGTGTGAGGCGATACCTGGACCCTACAGAGGTTTCACAAGTAGTCCAACTCCTCAAGGATTGCACTTCAATACGTTCCTTTGCCAGAAGCTTTGCTGTGTCTTCCAGCACAGGCTCAAGAGCATGGAGGAGATTCCAGGCGACAGGCAGTTACTCTAGAAGAGCTGGACAGGGTCATAAAAAGTCCTTAACCCATCAGCAGGACCGGTATCTGCTCCTTTGTGCAAGGAGGAACAGGATGAGCCCTGCCAGATCCCTAGAAAATGACCTCCAGCAGGCCACTGGTGTGAATGTCTCTTAACAAGCAATCAGAAACCGACTTCATGAGGGTGTCCTGAGGGCCCCATGACCTTTAGTGGGCCCTGTGTTCACTGCCCGGCACCATAGAGCAAGATTGGCATTTGCTATTGAAAAGCACATGGCACTAGTGGTGTATCTGCCAGAATTGGCAGATACACCACTAGTGCCATGTGCTTTTCACAGATGACAGCAGCTTCACCCTGAGCACATGTGACAGATGTGAAAGGGTCTGGAGAAGCCGTGGAGCACATTATGCTGCCTGTAACATCATTCATGACCGTTTTGGTGGTGGGTCAGTGATGGTCTGGGGAGGCATATCCATGGAGGGAAATCCTTGGACCCATTGTCAGACCCTACGCTGGTGCAGTGGGTCCTGGGTTCCTCCTGGTGCATGACAATGCCTGGCCTCATGTGGAGAGAGTATGCAGGCAGTTCCTGGAGGATGAAGGAATTGATACCATTTAATGGCCCCCACGCTTGCCTGACCTAAATCCAATAGAACACCTCTGGGATATCATGTTTTGGTCCATCCGCCGCTGCCAGGTTGCACCTCAGACTGCCCAGGAGCTCAGTGATGACCTGGTCCAGATCTGGGAGGAAATACTCCAGGACACCATCCGTCGTATCATTAGGACCATGCCCCGACGTCAGGCATACATACAAGCATGTGGGGGCCATACAAACTACTGAGGACCATTCTGAGTTGCTGCAATGAAAGTTCAGCAAAATAGATTAGCCTGCTGCATCATTTTTTCACTTTGATTTTGGGGGTGTCTTTGAATTCAGTCCTATGTAGGTTGATAATTTTCATTTTCCATCAAACGATGGGGCATGCTTACGTTCCTAACACATTACCCAGTCCATATCAGTATAGATATCCAGCATGATATCTTTCCCCATTGAGATCTGATGTGTTTTAAAGTGTTCCTTTTAATTTTTTTGAGCTGTGTGTGTGTGTGTGTGTGTGTGTGTGTGTGTATGTGTGTGTATGTGTATATATGTGTGTGTGTGTGTATATATGTGTATATATATATGTATGTATGTATATATATATATATGGAAATTTGCCACAAAGTGTGGAGATTAGAGGGATTGGAATGGAAGTGCCTGTCTTTGGACATGTATAATAGAGAATAGTCAGAGAAGGCAGTCTTGTTTACAGGTCTAATAGCCAATATTTCTCATTACATTAATACTTATGCATTATTCTTATTCTCTTGTCAATGTGTTCTCTTGTGATTTTGAACTTTTTTGATCTGCTTTTATTTTTCCTTATGTTGTACTGCTCAGCATTTTTGTGATCACCAAAAGAGTCAGTTTGCTTGTGTTCAGAGACCCCAAAAGACATATTGACCCCAACGGAATCCAAATGAACAAATTCCATATCAAAAGCTGGCCATAGAGTGAAATTTGGTAGTTTCAGCTGGACTGGCCAAATTTTGATCCATGTGTAGCTGTTCCTGTTTAACAGAGAAGTTGATTGTTTCATCAACTTCTGTTGAATGGGCTTGTTAAAAAACATTTTGTCGATCAGCAACTGCAGCCCCTGATCCGTGTATTCTGGCAGTGCAATTTCCCACTATCAGAATACAATTTCCTGGCAGGGGAATTTCCTCCATACACCTCATTTGTGTGGCTAGAGGAATCTGTTCAATTTTTTTTTTTCTGTTTTAGTCTGCTGGCTGAACCAAAAAATAAAGTGAACCATCTTCAGCCAGTTTAAAGTGGTTCTAAAGGCTCAAGGTTTTTTACCTTCATGCATTCCATGCATGTAGGTAAATAACTTTCTGTGTGTAGCAGCCCCCATAATACTCACCTGAGCCCCATCCTGATCCAGCAATGTCCACAAGAGCCTTGGTTCTCTGGGGACTCTCACACTCCTGATTGGCTGAGGGAGCCATTGGCTCGCTCTGATGTCACTCACAGCCAGTGAGCCAATCAGGGAAGGAAGGGGCGGGTCTGAGCCCTGGCTCTGCATGTGAGTGGACATGCAGAGCCATGGCTCAGGAGTGTGCCTGCTTGGTTGCCCCCATAGCAAGCTGCTTGCTGTGGGTGCACCTGTCAGGAGGGAAGGTTCAGAAGCACCGACAGGGAATCCGAGAAGAGGAGAATCGGGCTGCTCTGTGCAAAACAACTGCATACAGCGGGTAAGTATAACATATTTGTTGTTTTAAAAAAAAAAAAAAGACTTTAGTATCACTTTAAGAGTTTGGATGCAACATTTGAACCAAGACTCAGGCTGTGCACCTCTAAACTATGTATTATTTTTCCAGGACAAGTACAAACGAGCCCTAGCAGACACAGAGAATTTGCGGCTCCGAAGTCAGAAGCTGGTGGAAGAGGCAAAGCTGTATGGTAAGTTTTTAGGAGAATGAAGGCTGATTGGTGGAGCTGGGCAGGAAAAGGCTAGTGGATCTTACAACATGTCATACTATAGGACCCCAATATACAGTATTTTAAGATGCTTATCGACTTTACAAGACTGCTGCTACTGATGCACACTAACATCCTTGTAATTTAAAAAGCAAGTATGAGACGCACATATATTATCTATCAGCGTTCAATCCAAGCAGTAAGTCGCTCTTTCGTGGATCTGCTACCTAAGCTTATTGGCGATTTTTATTTTGGGGCCATTGCAGGTAATAGCCATCCAATATCTAAAATCTAATAAAATACAGTAATTTATACTAATCTATAAATACTACATTTACATATCCATCACGAACACGTTAAATGAACAAGCTGTGCACATGGGATAAAATGAAAATCGCTATGTAAAAGGACTAGGACTCATCAGCAATTGTCTTCATCCACTGGACATGGAAAGATAATTCAGATATAAAATGTAAATTCAATGAAAACTAAAATCCAGAAAAACTTGCCTAGTGATAATTGAAGTTGAAAACATAGTGCGTTTCTTTTCCCTGTCAGATGGTGAGCCAGATTGGGTCTTTCAGCTTTTTAATCTAGCGGCTGCCGGGATAATGCAACCCAACTAACTCACACATCCTGTGCTGATATAAAGCAGAGTAGACACGGAAATATTACTCCCTTCTCTGCCAATTCTTTGTTTGAAGTGCCCAAGACAGAAACCTAGTGCTGCTATTTTCACCTATGAGATGGTCTACTAGATTTGGCCTCTCTCCTGCTCAGCCATTTTTCAGTATGCCCAACTGTCCTCCCCCTCTTGTTTACTGGTATAAAGCCACTTAGTTTGGTCACACATCTTGTGGTAGTGGTGAGAAGAGCTAAGCACCTCCTGGCTGTCTCACCCTAAATGATTGGCACAAAGGGGTTGATATTCTAAAACTGGAGAGTGCCAAATCTGGTGCGGCTGTGCATGGTAACCAATCAGCTTCTAGCTTTAGCTTTTTCAATTAAGCTTTGACAGTAAAACCTGGAAGCTGATTGGTTTCTGTGCTGAGCTGCACCAGGTTTTGCACTCCAATTTTAGTAAATCAATCCCAAAGGGTTTGGCCAGTTGCATAGACAGTACTGTTGTAGGAATTTAGGTGGAAACCATGAACAACAAGACTTGCATGCCCACATGATTGGTTGTCTGGAGGAGTTGGAATGCAGGCAGGAGCTGTTTCCCTGCTAGTAATAAACTTTTTAAGTTTCTACATTTATTTGAAGTTGAGAGTTACTGCACTGCTCCATGTGATCCAGACTTGTAAAAAGGCCACCAAACCGAAATTGTTTTCTACACCTTTTTTTGTCTGTTTAGCTCCAAACATCCTTCTATAATTTCAAATGTTTGTACTTGCAGTGTTACCTTTTGTATGTTTCATTACCAGTTTAAAGGGACACTATTTAAATGTAAATGTGACTGTGCTCTCTTCCTACTATGTTGTGCAGAGAATATCCCCAAGTAGGGTTGCACTGATTCTGATACTGGTATCTGTGCCCATACTAGGCATTGTATGAGTATCGGTACTTGTACAAATGCACTGATACCTTCAGGCTCATTTTTTTTCAGCTGTCAGCAGAATTCCCCACACCATTGACAGCTGAAATGTAAACAAAAGAATGCCAGCAATTATTGGCCAAGGACTGGGCCACCTCAACAACCGATAACGTTTTAGCTGTCACCAGGATTCCCCTTCTCCTCCCCGCATCCTCCTCTTCTCCCACCAGCTGTCTCTTCTGCTGGGTAGCTTCTCCTCCTCTTTCCCTCCGGCCAGCTGTCACCTCTGTTGGGTGACTTCCCCGCCTCCTCCTCTCTTACCAGCTGCAGACTGGTTGTTAGTTGTGGCTGTGGGCAGCTCTCCTCTAGCTGCTCCCCCAGTTTTTTCCTGAGTTGCTGAGGGTTCTCCTAGCTGTTCTGCCATCTTGCATGGTACCGCAGCTTCCTGGTTGTCAGCAGCGGCTGCGGGCGGCTCTCCTCTAGCTGCTCCTGTGGTGTGTTTTTTTTTTTTTTTTTTTTCTCCCTGGCTGTTACATCTGCTCCCTTTCTTCTTGGCCAGGAGCTTCTTGTTGAGCCATCCATCCGGGATCCTCTCCACACATAGCAGTATGGAAATGTGAGTGGACAATCTTAATGCCATGTGAAAAATAAAGAGAACTACTTCTATTGGCTGGAACTTATTTTTAGCTTTTTCCTTAGCCCAGTGTTTCCCATGTTTGTGTGATACATACAAGCTTGGCATGGTATATACAGTACAGTGGTATTTTGGGCTTTTTTTTTTTATGCATAGACTGTATTGGTGTCAATCTGTACTTTATGGACTTTGCATTAAAAAGACTGGTTATTGTATATAATTTTTGCATTTATTAATTAATTTATTTATACTCCCCCCCCCCCCCCCCCCCCCCCCCCCAGGCTTACCCACCTCCCAAACCACCCCTCTACCTACTCTTCCTAGGCAATAGGTATCGGCGAGTACTTTAAAAAAAAAAAAAAAAAGTATCAGTACTCCGTGTTAACAAAAAATAAAAAAATGGTATCAGTGCATCCCTATCCTGAAGTACCACACACTACCCAGTGCATTTATTGAATAGAACATACAATGCAAGTGCAGTGTGGAATATTTAATAAAGTGTCCTCGCTATTATGAATCGGCACCCTACTGTTGGCTTGACCAACAGTTGTGTGTACAACCTGGGCCTAGGATCCAAAGATCAGAATTTAAGTTGATGAATAACTCAGGCACTTAAACAGAATAGCAAACTGAAGCTGCATAGGTTGTATTATATATATATATATATATATGTGTGTGTGTGTGTGTGTGTGTGTGTGTGTGTGTGTGTATATATATATATATATATATATATATATATATATATGTGTATATATACACACACACACACACACACACACACACACACACAACACACACACACACACACTCCCTCCCACAAAAGAAATATATAAAAATACATAATTTTTTTTTTTTTCGTGGGGAAGGGTTAGTGTCTATCAGTCTTTCATGTTTGTGGCTCCCTGTGGGGAAACTGGAGCGAAGAGAAACATTCCCAAGTGTAGGGACTTATTTCTAAAGGAGTGGTTAGGAGCGCATAGTACAAGCTTTTGTCTCAATTACAATTTGTTTCAAATCTCTAAGGCTTTGCTACATACACGCTCGCCAGAGCTGACCAAGACCCAGTTCCAGCTATTGCTTCAAATAATCGCATCTTCCAAACAAACGTTAGCCAGAACTCGGAGGGTGCTTTTGCTTTTGTCTCCTTGCTACTAAGAACGGAGTTACATAAGCCATGGTCCATGCCAAAAGGGAGGCAACTGTGCAAGATAGAGTATGTAAGTACATACATACAAATTGGGTGGACCTTTTGTCTCCCTCCAAATTTTGACTCCTCGTTGTTTGAACCTTGACACTTTTAAGTCATTTTAAGTGAGGTTCTTCAAAAAGTTTCTGCACTTTTTTAAACTAATATATATTAAAGTGCGGAAACCTTTTAAAGACCCCTCGTATTATACTATTTTAGTTCATATTACATTTCATTTTTATTGTTCTGTACATGTTAGCCCTCAAAGAGTCATTTTCCTCTTGGTTGACTGTATCTATCTGTTCCTATCGAGAAGAGATTTTAAACAAATTTCAAGTGAGATGGAAGTATGAAGCTGGCACTCCTAACCACACACTGCGAAGCTGTTAATCTGTTGAGTGATTGGATCATTGTGATCAGAAAGGTGGCAGCCTAGGCCCAGATTCGGGTCCTTACCTCTACCATAAATTGAGCTCCGGTTAGGAATACACATTCTATCTCTGATGCATATGATTTAAGCTCTACCCACGTTGGTCCATCACACACCACCACAGGTGGTAATGTAGAAAGAAATCAGACTTGAAATGGGTTTTTAATCCTACCGTACTGTAAACAACTTAAACAAAATACATTTTAAATGTTTTACTGTTGTAAGGCAAATGCAGTGGTTCTGTTCAAACTGCAATAAACTGCACAAACCCATCAAAGTGGTTTACTGTCTTCAGATCAGGGAAAAATAAATTATGACAAGCTGCTATGTATTACTGCACTTCACCCTACCCTATTTAATTAGAAACATTCTTGCTGATTTTTCTCAGGTATCCAGGGGTTCTGCAAGGACCTGCTTGAAGTAGCAGATATTCTGGAAAAGGCAACCCAGAGTGTCCCTGAAGAGGAAGTCAAGGCTGACAACCCCCATTTGAAGAACCTCTATGAAGGCCTGCTCATGACTGAAGTTCAGATGCAGAAAGTTTTCAAAAAGCACGGAGTGCAGAAACTCAATCCTTTGGGTGCCAAGTTTGATCCCTATGAACATGAAGCCTTATTCCATACTCCCATGGATGGGAAGGAGCCTGGCACTGTAGCTATAGTCACTAAAGTGGGCTACAAGCTCTGTAAACGTACCTTAAGGCCTGCATTGGTGGGAGTTGTTAAAGAAACTTAATATATTTTAAATAAATGTTTAGTTAATTAAATGGCTACTTATGGCATTTCATTCCAGGGAACTTTTTTTAATAAAAAAGCCATTCAACTTTGGCTTGTTATACAAATCGGAGATTAGAATTGGACTACCGAATATCACTGAGACTTTCATTCCAGTGTTGTATAAGGAGGAGACATGGTGATGAACTTTATAATCGACCTGTGCTGAACGTACAACATGATTGCTATGTTGTGTTGCGTTTATGCTGTACAGTTACCAGCTGAGGTTCCCACATTATTGAGATATTACTCTGAATAAATCTTTCTTTTTTTTTTTTTTTTTTCACGACTCTCAGGCTTTGTCTTTTATGTGCAAAAGTTCCAATTTCCATTTATTTATCACAGGTACTTGTATAGCACGGTCAGTTTACACGGCACTTTACATATATATATTCTACATTTAACGGCCCCTGCCCTCAGGGAGCTTATAATCTAAGTTCCTTAACTCACATTCATACATACACATACTAGGGCCAATTTAGACACAATCCAGTGCACCTACCAGCACGTCTTTGGAGTGTGGGAGGAAAACCAATGTACCCAGGGCAAACCCACACAGACACGGAGAACATGCAAACTCCAGGCCGGTAGTGTCAGGATTAGGTTTTGAAACATCAACTCTAGTGCTGCTAGGTAGAAATTTGTTACCACTCATTGCTCCTAGCTTTGCCCTAAACTCTGAAGAGAGGTTTTCCTGATGGGGAAATCCAGTACAACCCTAAAATGATTTTGTAGGCAAACGTCAGAACAACTTCTCACAACCTAATGGGGTTCCTGGTATTTATAGAGGGGTTGTATTACTAGACAGAGGAACCCAAGATGGCTGAAGATTTATTTTTCTTCGAGATTGGCATTCATGTTGGGGTTTTTCTTAAAATGCTACTTTGTGTCACATGTATGTACTAACTGTGCTGCCAAATGCTTTTCTGAACACCAAGTGTGGAAGTGTGAGCGAAGCACTTTCGAAGGCACAAATTGCATGTGTTTGGGCAATACTGGTAATATGAACGCTTTAAGGGGTACTTGGTGAAGAGTACATAGCAACAATGCAAACAAAATGTGCTTTCCGGGTCTAACTCATGGCTCTGTACTGTGGCAATGGCCACAATGAGGTGCTGGATAAACAAAATGTTTTTTTTTTTTTTTTCTTCTTCAATTAACAGTTTAAAGAACTCCACCTTTTGCAAACAAATAAATGCACCCATTTTGCAAAAATTTGGTATTTTACTTTTTTTTTTTTCCATTTGATGCTCAGTAGAATGCAGGTGCAGTGCTCTGGCTCATGCAGAGTCTTCCTCCAGCAGTCCCTGGCCTGTACAGAGGAACTGATGATTAGCTATGGAGCAGGAGAAAGCATTATTGGACTAGAAGTCACCACACTTGAGCTCCATTGAGAGCTGTAGTCAATGGATGACATGACTGTGTGTGGGCTGCACCAATCTGAAATATGACAGAAGCTGAGAGGAAGAATCCTACAATCTTCTACGTATGTAGCTATGTTATGTATGTAGCTATGACCATGTTTTATGCTACTCCATAAATATGTAACAAAACATGGTCTGTAAAGTGGAGCCAGCTTTTAAAGTGGTCCTAAAGGCAGGTTTTTTTTTTTTAACTGCGTGCATTAACCCCTTTGCACCAGCGCCTCCTGGCCCTTTAAGAGTTTCAGGAGGCAGGGTGGGGTTTTAGGGTCATGTGACCGCCATGAATAGCTGTCACTGTGGTCACATGATCAGAAAAGGTCCCGATCGTAAGGGGAGATTGGGACCTTTCCGTGAGCTGCGGACATATGTGCTGGGAGCGCGCACATATGTATTTTCAAATGGTACGCAAATATGCGGCCGCTCGGAGTCGAGGCCCAGACGCCAAGAGGCTGCATATTTGTGTGCGCTCAGCGTCTAGGGGCTAAAGGATAAGTTCACATTTGGAACATGTTACATGTTCCACCTGTTTTTAGGGTGGAACATGTAACCTGTTCCCATCGCTGCAGCTGCGCCCCCCCTCCTTGTGACAGTATGGGGAAAAGTTTCCTCATAGTATCTGTCAAATTTGAGTCCGCCCACACGGCCATGTCATTCATTCACGAACTTCTGTGAATGGATGAACTGCAAGTCCCAACAGCCTTAGCGGCTGTTGGCTTGTAGTTTTCAATGATCTACCATGGCCCCGTGGAGCATTGTATTTAAGTTCATTGAAGCTTCCTGGCAGAATATCTGCTTGATTGTAAATCCTGTACGCCAAGCAGATATTCTGACAGGTCTACAGGAGGCCTGTATGGCATCAATGATCTACTGATCGCTGGTTCATTCTTTCCATGCTCCTTTGGACAAAAATAATAAATGCACATTTTTTTTTTTTTTTTTACCTGCAAAAAAATGTGCGGTTTATTATTTTTGTCCAAAAGGTGAACTTCTCCTTTAAGGTAAAAGAAACCTTCTGGGTGCAGCTCCCCCTCAGCCCCCCTTACACTTACCTTAGCCTCTTCTCGCTCTAGCGATGTGTATGAGAGCCAAGGCGCTCCCAGGTGTCTCTCCTCATTGGCTCCTGTTGCCGTTAATTACAGCCAGTGAGCCAATGGGGAGAGAGCAGGGGGTGGGCTGAGCCATGCTCTGTATGTGAATACACAATGCCTATTCACAGGAGCACATCTCAAGAGCCTGTTTGAGTGCCCCTATAGCAAGAGGCTTGCAATTGGGGGCACTTGGCTGGGGTGAAGAGCCAGGACTGCCGGCGGGGGACCCAAAAAGAAGAGGATTGGGGCTGCTCTGTGCAAAACCATTCCAAAGAGCAGGAAAGTTTGTTGTGTTTTATGTTTAATTACTGTACAACCTTTAGAACCACTTTAAAGCAAGGTTCACACTGTTGCAGGAGCGTGTATACCACATGCATTCCTGCACCTACAGCCAAAACACATGCTGCTCTTTTGTAGATGCGTAGGGTACGCATTGTAAAATGCGGCGTGTCCCAAGCACCATGTGGTTCCATACAGTCGTGTTTTAAAAAAAAAAAAAAAGGACCTTTTCCCTGTGGAAAATGCAGATACAGTAGCCCACACAAATGAATGGGCTGCAGTGCCCGCATAAACATGAGCAGCACCACCTGCACAGATTTGAACCTACACTTATAGTACACTTTTTGTTGTTTTAAGTAGGTATCAGTGTAGTTATATTCCCTTTGTCGTTTGCATGCCTTATCTTGTAACGATGAGCTCTCATGGTTTATCTGCAGTTTGTGGTTTCATGACTGATTGATTGATTTCCCCTATGTCCATGGTTCCTGTTCTGGGTCACACAGCATCCATTGAATGGAATGCCACCGGCTCTGTGTTGTATCACAAATGTGGGACTGCTGATGTAACAAACATCTTCCAGCTGCTTGGTGAGCTGTCTGTGAATGTGCTGCCTGCTTGGGCAGTGTCAGACCTACTTACTGTTTAACTCTCACCTGGTTTAGATCAAGAGACTGTGAGATATGTAGTTTCTTCACAGGAAATGTTAGTTTTCAGACCCACACACAGAGATCATATACATTAACCTGGGCGGTCCCATGCAGAATATCTCAGGTTTCTACACAAACAAACTGCGGAGACGATAATCTTAAGACTTCCTGCTGTCTCCTATCTGAGTTCACATCAATAACCTTGACCATGATTCTCCTTTCCCCTCAGATCAAACACATTTTTATCTCTTATTCATGCATATAACTGACATCTGTGTGGATCAGAAAATACAGATGGTTTTCTACTTCTTCACCTAATGAAGCAAAAAAAAAAAAAGCCTCTGTCCTGGAAACCTGTCTTTTAGCAGATAGGGTTGCAGTTATGCTTCTGATCGATTAGCAGATGCTCAGTATATAAAATTGTGCTCAAAAGTTTGCATACCCTGACAGAAATTGTGAAAATTTAGAATGGATATTGAAAATATGACTGATCATGCTATAAAAAAACCTGTCTTTTATTTAAGGCCAGTGAGCATATCAAGCCATGTCTTATCACATAGTTGGTTGGATCCTTTTTAACTCATAACAGAAATCACCCAAATGTCCCTGATCAAATGTTTGCATACCCTGGAATGTTTGACCTTGGTACAGACACACCAGGTTAAAATGGCAGTGAAATGTTAATTTCCCACATCTGTGGGATGTGCAGTTAGTGTCTGTGTATAAATAGAAAATTAGTTTTTTTAGCTTTCATGTGGATGCACTGAGCCATGGGGAGCAGAAAAAAAAAAACTGTCAAAAGACTTGCATAACAAGGTAATGGAACTTTATAAAGATGGAAAAGGATATAAAAAGATAGCCAAAGCCTTCAATATACCAGTCAGTACTGTTCAATCACCTATAAGAAAGTGGAAAATTCTGTGGTCTTTTCATACCACGCCAAGGTCAAGTAAAACCGAGAAAGATTGCTGCCACAACTGCCAGAAGAATTGTTCAGGATTCAAAGAAAAAAAAACAGGTAACCTCAGGAGAAATACAGGCTGCTCTGGAAAAAGAGGATATGGTTGTTTCAAGGAGCACAATACAATGATATCTTGAACAAAAATGAGCTGCATGATTGAGTTGGCAGAAAGAAGCCTTTACAGTGCCAATGCTGCAAAAAAAAAAAAAGCCTGGTTCAAATATGTCTGACAGCACCTTGACAAGTCTTACAGCTTCTGGCACACTGTAATCTGGAGTGATGAGGCCAACAGAGCTTTTTGGTCGCAACCCTCTATGTTTGGAGAGGGATCAACAAGGCCTATAACAACAAGCATATCATCCTCAGTGTAAAGCATGGTGGTGGCTCACTGATGTTTTGGGGGGTGTGAACTCTAAAGACACTGGGAATCTTATGAAAATTGATGTGCGAATGCTGCGCATGAGACGCTCTTGGACTTTCCACCACGACAATCACCCTACGCACAAGGCAAAGTTGACCCTCCAGTGGTTACAGCAGAAAAAAGGTGAAGGTTCTGGAGTGGC